TTTAGGAGCTGGATCCATTTGACTTACTTCTGCAAGTTTGCTCCACATAAATAATCTGATACCATTATGCCCACCTTACTGATGAGGAAACCACAGAATAGAGTGAAGAAGTGGCTTGGTTCAAATCACACAGCCAGCAACAGAAATTCCATGCTAGGTCTGTCTGCTAATTTGACGTGAAAAGAAAACACACCTGCTAGGTGAAATCCTGGGTTCCAAGTGAGATTTATATGCATTTTTAAAAATCCTCTTTAACCTGTAGGTGTGTGGTCCACGCACGAGGCGCAGAGAGGAATGGAAATGTCTTGCAGCAGTACGAAAGAAGTCATTTTTTTATTCTCCCAAACAAAGCAGACTGCAGAATAGGAAACAGACCCTTGTAGCACTTTTGATTTAGTCACTTGCACTGTCTGAGAAACTTACTTCCACATTTGAGAAACAGAGGTGATAAGGTCCACGCTCCAGGCTACTTTAAGCAAGGAAGTACACAGACAAACAGGCAAGCTCCAAGCTCTAGGCACCCAGGAAGAGTTTGTTTCCTTCCTGCTTTTAAGTGTCCTCAATTCAGAAACAAATGCTTAGATCTTTCCCAGCAATCAGAGACTTTTTCCAAGTATAAAATTTTCCAGGATAAAATCCAATTCAGAGTCCTGTCTACTATCTACAAAAGGGTGCATAAATAAGATAGCTACTCCCCAATCTTCATCTTAAAGAGGTGAAGGGGGTGCTCAGAGGCATCAATTAGGCTGCCGCAGGTCACACAGCATTTAGGAGCTGGTAACTTGGCAATTAAAACTCCCTATTAATAGGGGTTGGAAAAATAGTACAGTGGGGGTAGGGCACTGCCCAGGTTTGAACCCTGGCATCCCCTGAGCACCTCCACTCCTGATTCCTGAGGGCACAGAGAGGAGCAACTCCTGAGTTCTGCCAGATGTGGTCCAAAAACAAAACAAAAGACTGCCTGCTAATAGCAGAATTCTAGACCTCAAACGTGACAATAAATACTGGGGGGGAATCATATTGAGAGATTGATTCCTTGAAACCTACCTTCCCTGTTCACTACAGGTGTGAAGTTGGGAAAATGGCAAACAGCATGCTCGGGATTGTGTGGGCAGCAGGAAGTGGGGGGCGGCAGAAGGGAGCAAAAATAAGAAAAATAAGACTCTCTTGAGTAATCCAGTAACTCAACAGTCCAGCATTCGGACCCAAAGCAAACGGCATGGCAAGCAGAGGCACTGGAGAGGATTCAGGTAAATCTTGTTCCTCTGAGCTGAAATCCTGCATCTCTAAGGGATGGGGGTGGAAGGAGAGCCACACTTGTGGGGTCCGCATTTCACTTATCTAACAGGTCAGGAGAAACTTTAACAAGATTAACTGCTGCGCAGGGCCTCTGCTCCATGGAGCAAATTGAATCCATTGTTTTCCTTTTCTTCCTTCTTTCAAGCCGAGGGGGCATGAGGGAAGGGGGCTGGGGATGCAGGGCAGGGGTCTGGATCCTGCTTGGTATGGTACAAAAGCAAAGGGATGTGTCGGAAAGCCCCCCGCCCTCCAACATGAAAGGGAGCCCAAATTGCCTGGCAGAAAGGCTGAAGGCTGAGCCTGGGTGGTTGGTCTGTGAGGGGTGAGAGGTGATGGTGTTTATGACACTTGCTCTCCCAGCAGAGGAGGGGGAAGGTGTGGGAGTGAGGATGCCCAGAATTAAAGCCTAGTTCCTGCCATTGAGAACCAGGGACACCCAGGACACTGCCCTCCCCTTCCAGTGTCTTTGACTCCCCAATCAATGGGCCAATGGAGGAGACAGTCTGAGTTACCTCCAAGGATGCTGTTCAAGGCAGAATCCTTCAATCCTAGGGACCACCCACCCACCCATCACTGGCAGGACCCAGAGAACCTTTGGAATAAGACTTTGGAATAAGACACATTCTAACTTTGCCTTATTTTTGCCCACCTTTCCCTTCTTACATACATATATGTGTGTGTGTGTGTGTGTGACTGTGTGTGTGAATATATATATGGGTGTGTATCTATCTATATATATACATATATATAGTATTTTTTTTTTTGCTTTTTTCCTTTTGGAAAAATAAAAGGTATGTTTTCTGAGCTTCAGAGGCAAAGCGTTCCTTGCCTCTTTTCCTCTGTCGCTTTCAGCGCCCGTCTGAACCATGTCAGTGAAGTTTGAACCTGGGCAGAAATAGCATCCGGGCGGATCTGGGAGCACAGCCCGCCTACCAGGAGCTGCGAGGCCTGCCTCTGCCAGACGACAGACCCGGTTAACAGCACCGTAAAATTAGACCTTTACGAAACCCAATTGAATCCTGCAGCAAAGAGTGATGTAAGGCAGCCTGGCCTGAAATAGCAGCGAGGTCCCTGCCCAGCCAGCGAAGCCTGCTTTCTCCAGAGAGGTGACCAGGGATTCCTCGGGAAGTGGAGACACCTTGTCAGAGAGACCCAGCAGAGGTAGGGCAGCAAACCCGGCCACCCCCGAGGTCTTGGCCAGAGGACATGACCTGGCACCGCCTTCCAGATGCCCACCTTGGTTCAGTCACTCTCAGACCCAACTCCCCTGAAGAAAGGTGCTGAAAAGAAAGTGCTTCGGCAAAGAACCTCTGTTTGTTTGCTTTTTAATTCAAGGAGAAGCAGGTTCTTTTGAGTCCAATGGTCTGACCGCACGGAGGATATGCCGAATGAGCCTTGTCTGGCTGAGGGCCAGGTGTTTACACACCGCCAATTCTGGCTCAGACTCAAGTAGGGGAGGGAAAAAAAATCCACCAGAATCCTCCGGAGAAAAAGCTCCTGGTTTTCTGGGGCACTATTATTCCCCCCCCCCCCATACCACCTCCAGCAAAACAAAACAAAAACAAACAAACAAACAAACAAAAAAAAGCAGTTCCTTATATTTTTTTCCGTGTTGAGAGGAATGTTATTTCCACACATAAAATGGACCAGGCATTTTATACAAGCAATAATAACCTAACGACCCCCATCCAATTAAAGTGTTTTACTACACAATCTTTGTGCGAGAGAGTGAATGAGTGCGTAAGGGAAGGCGTGTGAAGAGGCTCCTTGTCTGAATTATAGACATTTATAAAGAGGCTCCCGTGGGGTCCCAAGTGGTGTGTGTGTGTGTGTGTGTGTGTGTGTGTGTGTGTATTTAATGCACTTACTGCATTTTCATTGATGACACCTCTAAAACCCAGAGCTCTCCTCTCCAGCAGGAAAGCCTTGCAAATCACTTCAGTGATAGGCAACATTAGATCTACATTAGAATATATATATGTATATATATTTTTATATACACACCATTTCCACGCTGCAGGCTCTGAGGTTGACATACTTAGGCAAGAGATGTAAACATTCCCCAGCCCAGAATTATTCCCACCACCGCTTGGATGATGCACACAGACACTCATCGCCTCTCTTAGTGTAGCCCCCTCTGGATGACTAGGGCTTGGGAGCTTCGAGCAAATGAGCTCATTTTCCCTCTCCTGGCGGGGCGGGGGGACGAGGGGGGGGCGGGAATAGAAAAATAGCCCTCGATGACGTCCGAGGTGGGGGGGAAAGTGACTTTCTGGCTCTCCGTTTGGTAGCTGGAGACAGGGAGCTTTGAGAGCATGTTCTTGGTAGAGAAGCAGACTTTGGGTCCCCCTGTGCATGCATGAGCACAGGACAGTCAGCAGAACACTGCAAAAAAATCCATGCCAAGACAGAAAGCAAGCGGCGCTGCCGGAAGAGCTCCGAGCTTTCGCTTCGAAGAAAGTGTGTGTGCAAGGGGGAGGGGGGTGGGATTGCAAAACGCCTCCACGCATTTCCTGGCTGCTGCGAAGGGGGAACCCCTACTCTCGGTTTTAAGACGTCCTAGAACGCGGCGGGCTTCTTTGTGCAGGAAGGGAATCTCCCAGCCAGAAGAGGCAAAACTTTTCTTCCTCGCCTCCAGCGCCTTCGCGCCCTCCGCCCCCACCCCTCCCCAACTACCACGTTTTATTAAAGGCATTGCCACAGATTCATTTAGAAGAGGGAGAGTGATGTTGGAGTGTTTCTAAAGGTTTGCAACCCTCGCAAAGTGTCCGGTTTCACTATGGGCTCTGCTGTGGAACGGGCGAAGGGGCGCGCGAGAGGGAGGGCGAGGAGGGAGAACTCAAATTCATTATGGGCTCATAAAAGTCCCAAATGAGAAAAGCGCCCGGTTTCGCAGCCCAGTCAAGGGGGGCAGAGGCGGGGGTGCAGACTGGCTGGGTGTGCTTAAAGGAGGGCTCGCCCCATCCCCAAGTGACAGGCGTCGGGCTTTAAAGGGGGGGTATGGGATAGCTCTGTGTGTGTGCGCGCGCGCGCGTGTGTTTGCGCGTGTGTGTGCATGTGCGCGCGCGTGTGTGTGGTTTGGGGGCGGGAGGGTGTGTGTGTGTGCGGGGGGGGGGGGGAGATGGGGTGAATCCCAGAGGCAGGCATCCAGCGGAGAACAACTTTAGGGGCACTTCCAGGACTTCTAAGTCCTGGCGATCACAACAGCCTTGTCCTTAACAGGCTCTCGGGTAACGGGGCCAACAAGCGAAGGGGGGGGGGGGGGTCACCTCCATCAAAAAAAGGGGGAAAAAAGTCAAAGAAACCTACAGTGCCCCGTGCCCGCCCGTGTCCTCCGCACATGCATCCCAACTGGCTCATCCTCCCCCTCCGTCCGCCCCCCACCCCCAAAAAGCACCAGCCCCTCTGGCCCTCCCCAACGCGGTCCACGCGCCCGCGCCTCCCTCCCCGCAGGGACCCGCACGGGCTGGCGGCGGGGTCCGGGCCGGCGGCGAGCGCTCGGGACGCGCCCATTCCGCAGATGGAGCTAGGCGAGGCTCGCGCATCGCCCCGGCGGGGCAGCGGCTCCGCGGCCAGGGTCCCGCCAGACCCCGTCGGCCGCCCAGGTGCCCCTGCCGGGCGCGCGGGGCGCAGAGAGAGAGAGAGAGAGACAGAGGGGGTGTGCGGGGGGTGGAGGGACGGGCCGCGGCGCCCTCGCCTACCTGCGATCACCGCCGGGGACCGCTGGCCGCCCTCCGCTCGCAGCCACACTTGCAGCGTGAAGGCGTCCCGGGGCAGCTCGAGGTCGGCCCGCAGGCGCAGCTGTTCGCCGCGCCCGCTGAAACAGAGCGCCCGGCTCGGCGGGCTCGGCTCGGCGGCGGCGCCCCTCGCCTCCCGCTGCTGCCGCCGCCGGGGGACGCGCAAGGCTTCCCAGGCACCGCCCGGCGGCGGCGGCGGCGGCGGCGGCGGCGAGGCGCGGCGGCCGCGGGCCGCCCGGGTGGCGCAGGTGGCCGGGCCGGCGGCGGGGCGCGGGGGGCGGCCGGCCCGCGGGTCTCTCCGGGCCCGGCGGGGGCGCTCGGCCAGCCCGCAGCCCAGCGCGGCGCTCAGCAGCCCCAGGCGCAGCACCCAACTCCAGAGCCGCATGTCCGACGGTCCCCCCCGCCCCCCCTTGGCCCCTGCACCGCCGCCCGGAGCTGCCAGCTTTGGGAGCCTCGGCGCCTCGACTTTCTCCGCTTCTTCACCCTTCTTGGGCGAGCCCCCCTTCCACTTGGCTTTTTTTCCCCTCTCCCTCTCTCTCCCTCTCTCTCCTCTCTCTCTCCTCTCTCTCTCTCTCCTCTCTTTTCTTTCTCGCTTTCCTCCTCAAGGTGTGCGCTCCACTCCCCCCACCTTTGAAAAATACAGCCCAACTCCTCCTGCTTGGCAATTAATTTCTCTCCCCGCTTCTTTATCTGCCTGCTTCTCCCCCCACCCCCCCTTGCTAACAGCTGGTTGCCTTCCTCCTTGTTTTATTTCATTTTATTTTATATGATTTCTCGCTCTTAAAAAAAAAAGCTCCTCTAAGACACTGATCCGCTGAATTCCCTCCCCCCCAAAAGATGCTCTAATTTATTTATTTTTTGCGTCCTTTATAACACAAGCCACAGCCCCCTTCTCCCCCCCCCCCAGTTCCCCCTCCCCTCCCTCCTTCTTTACAAAATGAAAGGAAAGAGGGGGGGGGAAATCCCTCAGAAGATGAGTAAACAAGCGTATGCTAATCTGCTCCCGAGCGCTCCACCTTCCCAATTGAATGAGTCCCTGTTAAAACTGCGGGGATCATGACTAATCAATCAGTTTGGAGAGGCCGAGCTACCCAGCCTTCCTCCACCACTTTGCCGCTTGCCTCCGTTCCTTTGCTCCGCTTCTCCACCCCTCCTTCTTTTTCTTCTTCTTCTTTTTTAAAGAAGACAATCTTAAAGTAACAATTTAATGAAATTCCGTACACACCCCCTTACGGTCCTCCCAACTCTCCTCATTCCTGTTCAAAACGCAGATTTCTGTTTTTGTTTTGTTTTGCTCGCTTTTCTCCCTCCTTCGCAGACCCTCTTCAGCCTCCCGTCCCCGCCCCCTTATTATTATTATTGTTATTGTTATTCTTTCTCCTGACCGGCGGAAAATCTCACTTTGCTCTCAAGATCGCTTTCCACTTTGCTAGCAATTCTCATCCTTCTGCATGGCACATAAAGAGTCTTGAAACTTGATTCTCGTTTTGTTGTTGTTGTCTGTTTTGTTGTTTTATTTTAATGATCTCCTCTCCTGTCCCTTCTCCTCCCCTCTTCTCTCCTTTTATCTCCTCTGCCTCTCTCTTCTCTCCTGTTCTCTTCTCCGCTTTCCTCTCCCCTCTATTTTCTCCCGTCTCTTCTTCTCCCTCCTCTCCCTCTCCTCCTTCTGTACCTTCCTTCCCTCATCCCATCTCCTCTCCTCTTACACCTTTCCCTTCTCTCTTGCCTTCTCTATCCTTTCCTTCCTTCCCCTCTCAGAAGTTCCTTCAAGTTGTACTAGGATGAATACTCCCCTCCCTTTCTGCACCCCAGGTGCTGCCATCTTCAGCGAGCCCAAATATTGTCTCCAAAATCCTCCCTGAATCATCAGAAGAAACAAAACAAAAAAAGGGATGAGTGACATTGCCTTTCAAAAGCTATAGACTCAGCACAGCTAGGATTCTGAATACTCTTTAAGATATTCTGCTAGTTATTAGGAATTAACTTTCGTCTTGTATGTTGAAAAACGAAGAACAGTCATTTACCTTTTTTGTTTGTTTATTTGTCTTAAACCGAAGACATTTGGATTCTCTGCCATGATTCAAATCCCAGCTAGGAATCTGATCATTTGCTGCTTTATAAATTTGTTTTCAACTGAGACATATATGTAATATATTTTTGATTTTTCCCCCCTCTTTATAGAACTCAAAAGCTCCCCCTTATGGCAAAAACAGTTTTGTTGTGTGTGTGTCTGTGTGGTTTTCTTTTCCTCCCAGTGTTTAAGTCAAAAGGAGTTAGTAGTGGTACACTGGAAATTATTTGTAACTAGGTTTGTTCAAATAAGGTAGTGAGAAAAGTATGCTGGGTGAAGTTTGCATGTGGGTAGAATACTAGAAGATCCAAGGGAAATTAACCTCGTTAATAGAGACTTTGCTCTTCAGGGTTGCTCTGGGTCCTTGCTGAGAGCCTGGATTGTTCCTGCATGCTCCAGAGACAGAGAATACCAATTGGGGAATATTTGTTGGTAAAAGTATGCAGATTTGTAGAATGAACAAATGACTCAAACATCCTCTCTATAAAAGCTGGAATGTGCTATGCAGGCATTGTGGCACCATTCTGAAACCAGGAGATCCCAGATTCAGATCTTCTGGGTTTGAGAAGAACTTGCCATACAGTTTTAGGCCAAGAATCTTTGAACTCGGTTTCTCCTCTTATAAACTAAAAATGCCATTATATCCTAAATGTGTTTCCAGAGACTGGATGAAAAAATGTTTCTTGGGTGTACAATTCCATGAGTAAGGAATTTGCCTCATCCTTCCCTTATTTGCCTGTGCAAATCTCTCCTTTTCTGCATCTTGAGTGATCTATAAAATAATATAAAAATAAAACTGTATTGAGTTTCATAAATTATGTCCCATAAACTGCTCCCTTCTTTCTCAAACAGAGATGGGAGCTTGGGAATAATTAATTCATTTTAATATGGCATGAGGCATTTGGAAACTTTTTTCCTAAGGGTTTCTAAATTATGGTATATAACACTTTTCAAGATTATTAGATCTTTGGACCTTTGTCACCTTTCCCATGAAGTGTCAAGATTTTTATGCTAAGTCCCTTTTCAATCCAACACTTAGACTTATAATGAGTCACTTCATTTCCACTAGCCCTACACTTCCTCACCTTTAAAGCAGCATTATCTGGTTTCCAAATCCAATCGGAGGACAAACTATACTTTGCTTTCCAAATTCATTCCGAGGCCAAACTATGCTTTGGACTATAATCCTTTGGAAATAATAAAAATGTTATATAAATAACATTTATTCTACAGCTACTGTCAAGGACCAAGTATGCCTTAAAATCTCAAAGAGAAATAGAAGTCTAGGAGATCATGTTCTGTTTCTTGTGACTGCCACAAAGAGGAAGGAACAGTCAGGTACATCTCCTAGAACATTTGAGCTTCTTGACCTCAGTCCCTAAATGCTTTGGGAGCTGTTGGCAGACTTTCACTCATCTTTTCATTGAACACACATTTATTACTGAATCCTACCTGCTTTGAAATTCAGTCTTATTTATATGTAATTTTGCATGTATATATGTATTATGATTTTGTTATTTTAAATTGAATTGATAGAATTGGATGAATTGTAACCCTTGACTGAGAGCCAGCCCTAATCACTGGTCTATGTACAACCTCTTACTTATTTATGTGTAATAAGTAATACACCATCTATCGCCATCTCTTTTTAATGCCATCTCTTGATCCTTCATGGCTCATCCCTTCAATCCTTTGCTCGTCACATATAGTAGAAGGGTAATCATCTGAGATAATCATCTGAGAGTTTGGGGACTGTAATTCTAATTCTGACATGTCAGGGATCTTAGACCTAAGATCATCTCCAAATCAGACAGGTAACAGAATCTCTCAATTTCCGGAGTATCACAATCATTTCTCTCAGATATCTCATGTTTGCCTAATTTCCTCTCAACCCCATCAAAAGAGCATTTCCTGTTTCTAAGGATCTTCATCCTTAGAACGAGGCTTTAGAACAAAAAATTCTTTCCTACCTACCTTTATAGATTACACTCTTCTAATTTCATTTTATTTTGGTGATAACGGAGCAAGATAGTTTACTTGAGAGGATAGTTTTCTTACTGGAAACTTGAAGTCACATGCAAGCGCAGACCTCCAGACTGGGAAGTGTTTGAAAGAGTGAATGTAGGCGGGCACCCCCTCCAGAGTGATTCTGGCTTGGGTCCCTGTGACTTTCAGCAAATTGTTGAATTTCCTTAAATCCCAGTGACCTTATCAGGGAGCTGTCCTTCGGTTCGTGTTCTTCATTTCATGTAGTAGATACTTAATAAAGTATTTACTGTTTATTTCTGGGAATCCAAATGTATGGCTCTCCTGACTTTGGTCAGCTTACAACAAGAACAGGAACCTCACCTGCTTCTTACTTCAGTCTACATGTAGTATTCCTAGCTCAGAATTCTTAAGCAAGCATTACTGTCTGGTAGAATCTGGAACTGGGTTAGATGGGATCTTGCATTGTTCTTGGTGTCCTGATTATGTCATTGCTCCAAGATTAGAATTTATCAGGAACAAGCATTTCAGTTCAGGCACCACACCCCTCTCCCATCAGCCCAAAGTGCTCCCTCCTCTGGACTCTACTAGAACTTCCTCTGAATTTCTATGGACACAACCCTGAAACAAACTAACACATTAATCACATATCTGCCTGCCCTCTCACTTTTATTTTTGTATGTTGCACTCATATTTGTGTTTATCCAAATGCCTAGTTCAGTGTTTGTGGACCCTGAAAAAGAGAGATGTAGGATGTACATGTATGTTATGTATGTTTTTTATATATGTGTGCTATGCTTTTATAAGTTTTCCCTAATAAATGTATTAGGCATTTAAGAAATACCTAATTTCTTTATCTCGTAACTTTTCTCTTTCACAGTGGATACCTGCCGAGACATACTGAAGTTGATTGATCACTGAGGTGAGGGTCACAAGAAAGAACATGGTCTTTGGAGGAGAAGTAATTGAATACAAATCCTATCTTTGCTAAACAACAATCCTAATCAAAGCTTATGTTTATAGAGTATAGACTATGTCTCAAGCAATATTTAAATGAATTTTATAGGAACAGTCATCTAATCCTCAGTAAGTCTAAAAAGAAGGTCCACTAGTCATCTGACTTTATAGGAGAAAAAAAATTATAGAGACAAACTAGTGACTAGCCCAGCCAATTTGCATCTAGTACTCTATGATCTAGCTCAAGGTGGCTATGAAGAATCACTTAAATTTTTGCGTGCCATTTTTTATTTTTTTGCAGATTTCCTGGGGTTATTTGGAAGATTAAATAAGACTGTGAATATGACACTTCAGAGTGACTAGTACGTCTA